TTATGATAGTAATGGGGACATTGAGATTCACCATGACTGTGCAACGGTTAAGAGTTTTCAAGATTAAGGATTGTGAAATTAATTTGAATTAGTTATTCATTCTGTTGTTAAATTTATAATTAATAACTTAATTGATAGATTTAATAATTAAATATGTATTAATTTATAATATATTTTTCTATTATGATAGTAATGGGGACATTGAGATTCACCATGATGGCACTCTTTGTATTAGTAGTAATGATGATCTTAGGTCTGTTGGAGGTGAAGTACCTGATGAGGATATTGAATATCATCGAGTAACTTTGTTATATATAGAAGAAAGGGTAAAAAGTATTGGATATATGCGTTTTAAATATTTGTATTACAAAGATCCTTATGTTGCAAAGTTTGGTGATGCACTAAAAGTTATAACTGGCCAGGAGGAACTTAATCACATGCGTTATCTATTGATTGAAAGGTCAATTATAGATGTGTATGTGGAGCATGTATGTGAAGAACTAGACATTTTATATATGCTTGAAGGTGGCAGTATTCCATGTGATGCAATTGATAAAACTAATGATATAGGACCAAGTGTTGTGAATAAGGAGGTAGTAGATGAAGGGGCAGGGTTGGAAGGTCCACAAGGAGGCAATGAGATTGATGTAGATGGGGACATTGAGGATGGTTGTGCCACACAAATTTTACAATCGACCCCAAAGGCACAGAATGTAGCTCATGAAACAAATGATGAATTCTTTGATGCTATACATATTGAGGAAGATAGTAATGAAGAGGAGGAGGTTCATGACGGTGAGGATGAGATTCATGATGATTTTATGGATGTTCATGATATGGAGGTTCATAATGATGAGGCTGATGTTCATGATGATGAAGCTGAGGTTCATGATGATGAGGAGGAAGAGGATGATGATGATGATGAGGTTCATGATGATGAGGCTGAGGTTCATGATGATGAGGAGGATGATGAGGATGAATTCCTTGATGCTCTACATAGTGATGCAAATGATGAGGAGGTGGTTGAAGCCATTAGAAAAGTAAGGGAGATTGTTGGAAAGCAAAAAAGAGTAAAGCCAGTACAATAAGGACTAGATGGTGATGGTGCTGGACCAAGCAACAGAGTCCATGAGCACCAAAACAGAGATAATGAAGAGGATGAAAGGGTTCTTGTTGAAAATGATAGTGCAGAGATGATAGTTCAGATTCTACATCTCCAAACAATGATGGATGTGAGATTTGTAGTGATGATTTGTATGAATATAGTGATGAGGAAGATAAAGATGAAGAAGAGTATAAATTCACTGTCCGTGCAGATGCAAGAACCAGAAGCAATGTTGATGTATGATATAACCCTTCATTACCTAATGTTTGGTTTGAGGTAGAGAAGAAGTTTGAGCATGCATCACAATTTAAGAAGGCTCTAGCTAAGTACCAAATACAGAAGGGTTGCAAGTTGAAAACAGTGAAAAGTGGCCCTAGGAGGCATAGAATTAAGTGTGGTGATCCACAATACAATTGGAAAATCTTAGCTAGTTATGATAAAAATGACAAGTACTTCAAGGTGAAGACATATTACATAGAACACATGCTTTAAGAGTTTGAAATATGACATGGTTGGGTCAAAGGTTCTTGCAGAACGCCATAGGAATAGAATTATTGCAAATCCACACATCCAAATCAGTGAGTTGGTTAGACTTACACATTTAGAATTGGGGGTTACTGTCTCAAGGGATAAGTGTAGATTGGCAAAGGCTAAGATTTTGAAGGAGATGAAGGAAACTTCCATAAAAGAGTTTGCACAATTGAGAGGGTATGCCAAAGAACTAATGAGGTTGTCACCTAAGTCGAATGTGCAAATTGATACTAAGCCAGCCACAACTCTAGAAGGGAAGCCACAGTTTAAGGGAATTTATGTTTGCTTAGAAGGAAGTAGAAAAGGTTTTCTACTGGGTTGTAGACCAATGATTGGAGTATACGCTTGTTTTCTTAAGGGCATGTGTAAAGGAACCTTCTTGGAAGCTGTTGCAAGGGATGGGAACAATCAAATGTTCCCAATTGCATAGGCTATTGTTGATTCTGAGTGTACCAGTTCATGGACATTCTTTTTCAAATGCCTAGCAAATGATCTATCGAATCACATTAGGATAGACTTAACATTTATTTCAGACCAGCATCATATAAGTGTAACATTTTTGTTCATTACCTTTGTAACAATTTATATTGATATTACTTTAATCATAAATGTCATGCCATTTATGTAATATTCTTCTTTAATTGATTATGACTCACTAACTGTCTTTTGCTTTTGTTGTTTAAATTAATCACGATTTGGTAAGGGTTGATTAATGCTAGACAAACAGTTTTCCTAGACGCTAGGCATAAACTGTGTGCTAGGCATATATATGCTAATTGGGAAAAAAGTTTCAAAGGGAAACTACTGAGGAAAAGGTTCTGGGTTGTTATAAGGTCAACTTTTGAGGGTGAATTCAACAAAAATATGGAAGGGATCAAAAAATTAACAAAGGCAGGTCATGAGGCCTTAAAATCAATCCCACCCGAGCTGTGGTGTAAAGCTTTCTTTAACACATTATGTAAGTGTGATGTGGTGGACAATAACATGAATCAGACCTTCAATAATTAGATAATGGATGCTAGATTCTTGCCAATCATCCATTTGTTAGCATGTATAAGGGTTAAGGTTATGATTAGGATGGCCAAAAATAGAGATGAAATCAACAAGTGGAGAGGAGACATAGCACCAAGAATTAAGAAGAAATTAGAAGTAAACAAGATGGAAGCAGCCAAATGCATATGTGAATGGAATGGGAGCATTCATTATGATGTTTGGCATCGAAATGATAACTTTGTTGTAGACTTGCTTGGAAACAAATGTAGCTGCAGAGCATGGGATTTAACAGGTATTCCATGTTCTCATGCCTTATATGCAATAAGTTTAGGAAACTTCAATCTAGATGAATTTGTTTTGGTTTGGTACAAAAGGGTGAAGTATAAGTGTGTACACATCATACGAATCATGCCCTGTAATAGTGAGTAGTTTTGGGAAAATTTTCATGGTGAACTGATGGAACCACTTCCATTTAAATCCAAGCAAGGAAGGCCAAAGATGAATAGAATGAAGAGCACTAATGAAACAAAAAAGGTGAAGGTGGGACACCTACAAAATTTGACAAAGGCAGGAGTGAAAGTAACATGCTTATTATGTAAGCAACCTAGCCACAACAAGAGAGGTTGTCCAAAAAGGCCAACTGAAAGTGATGTAATTTAACTACTCATTAACATATTATTATTAATAATAATTAGAAAATAATCGCAATTTTTTCTTAATCCTCAACAAGTAGCAACCCAACAAACTTCAACACCAACAACAAGAAAACCTTCAACATGTGGATATAGTAAACAGCCTAGTCACACAAGGACTACATGCATTGCTAGATTTGTAGTTGATGATAATGTAAGTATAATTTGTAATTGTCATCTTTCTATGAGCTTGATAGTGTAAAATTGCTAATTATTTATGTTTATTGATGATTAAGCAGTCTGGCCAATCTAATGGAATGGGAAGGAAGAGAAAACATTGGTTTGGTGAATATATCAATTCACCAGAGTTGAACCCTATGAGTTGTTGCTTTAACATTGGGTTGTAATGATAATTGTTTTACTCATATGTATTTCACACTAATAAAATTTAATTTTTGTAACAAGGTGTGCAAGGAGAGATTGCCATGAGACACACACACCTCAGTCAATTTCACAGGACACATCCTCCTTGAAAATCAAAGAAGCAAAGATCAAGTTAAGACTGATCATTTAGGAAGGTTTTTGTTGTTGCATGGGAGTAGAGTACTTGGGTGACAACTTGTGACAAATTGTAGTAGGTTTTTTTTGTATATATTATATTAAAGTTATTAGAAACTTAGTGATAACCTGCAGGTATTCATTCTTGTTTGTTGGGATCTGTATTTCGTAGGTATTTTCTTAAGGGGATTTAGGGACATTGGATTGTTGGAATCTCATGCAGTTTTGGTGTAACTGGTCAAGTTCTTTCTTTTGACAAATTTTGTGCAAATGCAGCTTTGGTGTAAATGCAGCTTTGGTGTAAATGCAGCTTTGCTGTTTACCTTTGGTGGTTGCATTGCATGCACAAATATTGCCCACATATTGCCCACAGAACACAAGTCTCCCCAATTTTAAAGCTTCTCAAGCTCCAACACTTTTCAAATCCCTCTTCCTGGCAACACCCTTAACCCAAGTACTAAACTGGAAAAAGGCCAAGACAAAAGCAAGAAAAACAGTCAAAACCAAACACAATTTCCCACACTTCTTCCATTTCTCCTGCTTTGTAGCATACACCATTGTTAATGTCACCATCATCTGCAAGTCATCCACCTTCTTCTCTAATGCCTCAATATGTTTCTCTCCATTTTCTTCACGACACTTCACAACATCCTTAAGAGCTCTGATCCTTTCTCTTACATCATCCAAATCATTTTCCAATTCTCTCTTACTATTGTACAGCCACAAGATAACCTCCTTAGCCCTAAAAGAGAAATCACGATCATACCATACAAAATACTTACACTGTCGTTTTCTCGTCTGTAAGTATGAAAATCAAATCCCATTAACATGGAATCAAACCCATCACTCCATATCAAACAAAACCCTAAAACCTTCAAAATAAGGAAAACAAAAAACCCTCAAAATTGCTTAGCAAAGAAAAGCCTACGCAACACACAATCCACAAGTTAAAAATAGAATTTTATGGGAAGAAATTACCATAAGATCATATCGTGGGCATCCAAAAACCTCCAACCAAGATTCTTCTCACTCCAGGACATGATCCTTGGTGCCTTCAAACCACAAAAGCAAATTCGACTAGGCCCTTCATAATGGTAATTGTATCTTCCAAATTCCACCGGTGCTAAAGCTTTAGAGTTACTCGAAGAAACCATGGAGCCAAGAATAAGAGAAAAGAAATAGGTTTGAAAGTGATGGATTAGAGAAGAAGACAGATTTTTTCTTTTACATCTCACTGACTTTCCTTTTTTTTTTTTTTTCAACTCATAAGTCAAAGTCAGAGTGGGGTCCATAATTCAATTGTTTGGCAATGTCTTTCTCGCTAACGAGTAGTCCGACCTAAACTGCCAGCGTGTAAAAAAGGCCAACGTGTCGCTAAGCTGTTCATGTCTGATGGAAATTAACGGTGCAAGTGGCCCTCGACATTAAATATTGCCTCGTTATCATAAACTCGAATATGATGAGGGTATAAAATCACATATTATAATGTGAGAGATAAAGTCTCATATACTCGAAAAGTTAGAGGGCATTCTGTGGAGTTTTGCCCTCCAAAATATACTTAAAATAGTTACATCACTAACGGGAAAAAAAGGAAAAAGGAGTGCTAAGAAAAAAACATCCAGTTAGAAATGATGGCGACTAGGACTGAAACTGTAGCAGACAGCTACCAAAGACCCTAGCAACGGTCACGTAATACATACTACTCAAAGTGACTTTAGTGTCTGAAGCATCAGAACAAATGCCATGTTTTCAACTTTGTAAGGAATCCGACATTCAACATCCACTTGCCCTGCTTTTAATAGGAAAACAGATGTGTTTGTATTCCCATCTTCCTCTTCTCTTTATTCCACGTTTTACTTCCCATAAAAATACCCAACGAAACAGACACCAAGGCAGAGAGGGTGAAGCAAGCCAAAGTCGTGCAAATGGGCATAAGAGAAATTGTAGTCGCAGGCACCATCATCGTAATCCATGAACTTGATGATGTTTATGACTCGGTCACAGGTCGTCCTCTTACTGGCTCATGGGTCTGGGACTCGGCTCTCGTTTTGTCTAAGTGGATGTTTACTCAGGTTGACTTTCAGGGCAATTCTGTTCTTGAGGTTGGTGCTGGTGCCGGGGTCCCAGGATTGGTCGCGGCTCGGTTAGGAGCAAGCCGAGTTGTCCTCACAGATGTTAAGCCGTTGCTTCCTGGACTACTGAAAAATGTTGAAGCTAATACCCTTACAGACCGAGTTGAAGTGAAGGAGCTAGTGTGGGGATCGGACGAGTCAGCGCTTCGACTCGGTGAAACGGGTAAGTTCGATATAGTTTTGATGAGTGACGTGTTTTTTGATCCAGAGGGAGTGGAAGGGCTTGGGAGGACCCTCAAGATGGTTTGCGGAGACAACACAAACATTTGGGCGGCGAGCGAGTTAAGGCCGTGGACTGGCGAGTGCTTGAACCAGCTAACTGTTATGGGATTTGGAGTGGTCGAGTTGCCGAGTGAACCCAGTGAATCTATAAAAGGGGAAGATTCTAACCCGTTTGCCATCTTTCATATTGCACCACCAGCTGAAGAGAAGTGCAGTGCTGAGTCTTGAAAAGCTCTGGCTTTTGACGATGCAATTGACAGATTTGATATGGGTGTAGAGTACTCTCGTAATACGAAATACAAACGGAACCAGGACGGAAGTTATAACAAAATCCAATTTATTTCACAATCTATATGTCTTATACCACACGTTGAATCTATAGCACAAACAAGCCACCTAGTTTGCTTAGAGTGCAAACCATAAGAATCAACACTAATTTTACGTACCACGACCATCACCTACATGCTTCAAATAATATATATTTTCGTTGTTGCCCACCGCAAAACAACGTAGAGTACAATTACATGTCGGTAGAGCTGAAAGGGTAAGAATGAATTCCTCCAGCACGCTGTACAAAATATTCAATGGTGAACTGCTGCTCTGTATATAATGGGCTTTTATCCCTTTAGAGGGGAGCAAGGCTTCCCCCATCATCAAACCCTTTCCACAATACCTTGTAATGTAATGCTCCCTTGGATCTTTACCTTCCTTCAAAATAATAATGCAAAACCTTAAGCAGGCAATTGGGGTTATCCTTCTCTTTCTCAAGCCTGGATGCACTGCCCATGTTTGCTTGTGATCTCATAGCCATTACCTCACCTTGAATTATATTTAATCCAACCATCTGGAATCAACTCTTAAGGGTTTATGGACAGAATTAAACTGACCTCAACCACCAAACGTTGCGCATTTCATATCAGGATACGTTGTGCACTTCATGCCAGGATTACTAGGGCGGCATAAACCAAGTCACTGAATGCAAAGGCTATAACCCATCATCCGTCACACAAAATGCATCCTTTGTCTTAACCATTGTAATGAAGTTTCTGGTTTTGGGAGCCCTGGCCATGCTGAGGCTGTTGTTGTGAAGCCTGCAAGTTCAGTGGCTGTGTGTTGTAGTGAGTAAATGGCTGAGAGTATAGAGAGTTCATCAGTCCCTGAAAAGAGGTAACAAATCATTGGATCAATTCAATGAGGATATTAACAAGTTAATACCCAGTTACAGAAGTGATAGAATGTAGCAGCCATTCAAAGACACATATTGGTAATGCCCAACCACTTACAAGCTATTAATGTCATCGAATCTTTCTTATATCTTGCCATTAGTTAAAAGAAATTTTAGCCAAGTAATTCTTAATAAACCAGGCAGGGGCACAATAAGAAACCTGAGACTGAAGGGTGTTGGCATTGGCCACACCAAAGTGACTCTGAGACACATCATCTTGGGAGGGATCATCATAGCCAACCTGAGTAAACAGGCCTTGAGATCCATGAGTCATGTAGTCCTGTTCAAGAGTAAGCTTCTTTTAAGATAGAGACAGGGGAGATAGAAAAACTAATCAAAATTTGGCACATTGAGCAAACCTGAGACATAAAGTCATTCCCAGTACCAAAACGTGAATACCCAGCTTGAGAATTCTGGTTTAAGAAATTTCCAGGAAACCCACCTTGTGCTCCTTGAGTGACATAATCTACGGCAAAACCACTTTGAGAAGCCTGTGTCATCATAAAACAAGAACATCATCTATCAGCACTCAAACAAGAAAAACTTTTGCATTTAGAAATTACGGAGGGATAAGACCTCAAGCAGACTCATCCTAACATCAATATTCAATATCCTCTTTTAGTGTTTAAAAGGCCTTCTCTCTCATCAGTGTTATTTGCTCCACTAATAGACATACCACCATGCTACTCTTTCTTTGATACAAGTTTTTCCCATCTTTCCCTTTTATTGGTTTTAACAGATTTCATTTCTGAATCAACATCTCCAGCCTTTCAACCAAGCTTATACCACCAAACAAGCATCCCCAGTTGATACTTCATCATAATTTATCATTGGAAATAGACATGTAACAAAACCCCCGACCATAATTAATAAGGAATATGTGATGCCACAAATACCACATACCTGTGTGGAAAAGTCAGCAACATTGTAAGGAACATGAGATCCTTGGCTCTTGAAGTCATCACCTAGAAAGTCCTGATGGGAGACAACAGACAAAACAGAAGTCGGTAACAAAATAAAATATATAATACTAGTATCATTCTTGAAGAGTGATATTATTACCTGAGACATTCCCCCCATTGAAAACCCATCACGAAATGCTTGGCTTGGCCCTTGAACTGGCATCTGGTACACATTATAACAGCACATTAACACTCTAAGAATGCCATAATGAAAAAAGAAAAAGAAGAAGAAGAAAAGAAAAGAAAGAAGAGGATCAAAATTTTGAAGAATGAGAAAAATTGTAAAGATGAAGCAGAGACATTATTAGCAAATCCAGGCTGAGATAATGGACCACCCACAGATGGTTGGCTATTTGGATTTTCCAGAGCAGGAAAGTTAAAATTAGATCCTATTGTTCCAACATTTTGCTGTGTGCCTTGCTGGTGCTGAAGATGACTGCCTATAGGAGCACCAGCATTGCCACGGCCGGCACCAAACCCCCGACTTCCTGGTTGAGGAACCTGAGTAACAGCTCCAACTGGCCCATGTACAGCTCCACGGGAAGGAATAGCATAAGGCTGAGGAGGACCACCTGGAAATGGTGGAAGAGGAACACGAGGCATTGCAAATCCTGCAGGATGGCCTCCAGCCTTGTGAGTACCATTGGGTGGACCAGGTGGCATATAAGCACCTAAAGCAAAATGACCAGAGTCAACAATGTCAAGCAGGAAAAGAACAAACAAAACTGATAAGAGTGAGTTTCAATGCCACACACTGTAAACTTTCTACCACACAACTCTTCTAATAACTAACAGAAGGCCAATAAAAATAATGACAACAAACAATTTATAGATTCAAGAGCCTTAACAACTTACCCCTACCACGATTACTTCTTCTATCAGAATTGGGGCTCAATGAAACAGCAGAACCAAAGCTATCATTGGGCACAATCCCAGGCCCACCTCCAAAGAATGGCCTCCGGTCATTATAAATCTGTATCAGAAAAAAAAAAAAAAAGAATGAGGAGGGAGGAAAACCTTCACAACTAGGAAAAGGAGGGATGAAACCAAAAGCTAGCATTGTCCTTTCATCACATACATACACACCTTTTTGGGCTTTTGAAATTGAACCATACTCTGCTTCAGATTGTTCAGAGGTCCTTCTACCAAGCACTCATGCTCCTGGAAATTGAAGTAAAATTAATTGGTATTGGTAAAATAACAGGGTTAGTGATGACATTTCCCTACACTGCCAGTAGCATAGCAACAGGATCAGGATGCATATGAGATACCTTGTAGTGTGTCAATAAGCCATTCCAAAGAGGTTGTTTGCTAAGAACTTTAGGGTTTCCCAGAATAACAATACCATATCTGGCACGTGTTAGGGCAACATTAAGCCTGCGAGGATCATTTAGAAACCCAATGCCCTAACAACAAAATGGTAAAACAGTCACATCAAAACGTTAGTCTTTGAAAATTTTAAAGGACCAATTCACAGGCTGCGCAGACAATTTACATGCATTAGAACAAATTTAACAAAATTGGTGGGGAGGCCACCGATTCACGATTATAGCTACATTTTGCAACACAAAGCATTCCAATTTGCAAGTCAGAGAAACTTGTGATAGCCACATTTTCTGATTGTTTTAAAGACATATCATTCAGAAATAATTGGGAGCCCACTAGAACAACCCTAAAAATAATCGAAATAGACATGCAACAAATTTAATCCACCACATCTCAATTTCCTCTCTGTGAGTTAAGATAACAAAAAGGTCATAAGGACATGGGAACTTGAAAATAGCAAAAAAAATATATATATATCTTATAATGGATGCATCAACCTACCTGATGTTCGTTACTTCGCACACAAGATAAAATTATATAATCTTTTTCCCTTCCTTGAAATGAATCCACACTAGCAACCTATTTAAAAAAAAAAAAAAACTAATAAATAAAGAAATAGAAATGGATCTCATAGCAGCTTCCAGAGCAGCTATGCCAGCTAACCAAATCAAAACCTTACTTCAATTTCCTTGTAAAGTTGCTGGCGAAGAGCACCATTTCTTGACATGTAGTTTACAATATAGGCCCTTTGTCCCTCATATGGTGTTATAACCCCAATCTGTAGACATATTAAAGTATTCAACTTTTTATTGTAACACACATCAAACGATAGACAAATGGATGTTAAAAAATTCCAAGAAAAATACCTGACTAGGGACTACTCCACTCCTCAAAAATGTAGTTACAATTTTTTCAACATTTGCAGCTTCAGTTCGATTTAAATATGATGTTCCACTCGCACTAATCTCCTCTTGCCCCAACTAAAACAGAAATTTGTAATTAAAATATTACCATGTTATAATGTAAGTACTATAAAAGCCTGGCTGGGGAACATATATTTATTAGCTATCCCAGGAGGAAGGAGATATGTGGAAAGGCAGAGATGGGAAAGGACAGGTAGTTAGATGCATTGTAGAGATGATTTATTTTGGTATTTCTTCTTACAATCTTAAAAACAGTTCACAAACCTGGACATAGAAAAACATGGGCCGATTAGGCACAGGCCAAGGAAAATCAATCCCTGAAGATTGTCTTTCATTGACTGTCACTCCATTCTGTAGTGTGCCCTCGTAGAAGCTGTTTGAAGGAAATTCAGATAGACATGGGTGCATACGGTATTGGACCTAAATTAACAAAAAAAGAACTTATTCAATGCAGGAAAAATTTTCAACCGAGCAATAACATTTAGCCACACACTCAGATCCACATCAAGAGAATGGTGTCCCTTCAGCGTGTGGAGGCAGTCCATTGCCCATTTGAAACAAAGTTGCCAAAAGAAAAGTATGATTATCATTACCTGCAATCTAATTGGTTTCAAACCAAGTATAACAAGGCGCTCAAAAAGAGACTGGGCAAGCCCAGCACGAGCTGCTTTCTTGCACATAATGACAGGGCCAAGTTGGCAATGATCCCCAACGAGAACAACCTAAAAAATAGAAAAAAAATCTTGTCAAAAGAAGAAAGAAAGAGGGAGAGAGAGAATCCTGCCAATTTTAATAGTTAATTACCTGCTTTGCCCCAAGAACCAGAGGAATAAGACACTCAGGTTCTGTTGCTTGAGTAGACTCATCAATAAGTACCTGAAACAAAGGAAAGAAAAAATCTAAGGTCTTTAATGATGTTCAAAATTCAAATATTACATATTAGACATTTCACCATTTCAATGTCGCAAACAGAAAATTCCAGTAAAGCTTCATCCTACAAAATACATAATATATGCATTCCAACCTGGCGGAACCTAAAATTTGTCAATCTTGGATCACCAGCACCGCCACAAGTGCAACAAATAACATCTGCACTTTGTAATATTTCCCTTTCTGTTGCACGCTTCAATGCTTTGTACTTTTTCTCATCACTACTTGACAATTCACCTGTAAAATTTAAATTTAAAGGCAAAAGCACTTTAGATGCCTTAGCATCACGCATGAGATGCATAATCTTCATGATTCAGCTGGTAAGTTAATATTTTCATTCATCACTGTTCTAATAATTTGCATTGAATACAGTGTATATGCACTTTTACATCCTCCAATTTCTAACAGATGAGATTCGATCTACAAAGTGTGTGTTGCAACCAATGTTAACTTAGAATAGTTAGGAACAAGATGATAAAAATACTGACCTTGTTCATCTTTCAATTGTTGTAACTTGTGAAGCTCACTCTTCTCAGATGTGTCAAGATGTCGAACCTGATAACATGACATTGCTTAGAACAAAAGAACACAAACAACAATAGATCACAGAATAATTAAGATGCCCACAGGCATACAAACCTGATAGTGAAGGGTCAAATGCTCAACAGGAGAACTCACAGCTTCTCTTGACTTTGCACAAAGCCTGACAACCTTTAGTAAAAAGGCATACACAAAAATGTTAATGAAAATTAATTGTGCCCATTTTATAGTTAATGAACCCAATAGGGATAGTGAGAACATAATAATAAATGCTTCTCAACTCATATTTACTAGGAGAAATAGACTCAGCAATCCAAAATGCAGAAAATAAGAAACATAAAAGCACAAGTACACTGTTTGCCACAACACTAAGACATCTTCCATAGCTCTAAAGCTTGCTATGTCACTAACATTAGATATTTCTAACATAAAAATTTCAAAGCTTCTTCACCTTTAACCCAGTGGCACTTATCTTTTCAGCTAACTGGTCAACAGCCACATTACTTGGAGCACAAACCAGAACCTGATAATTAAAAATAAAAAAAAGTTAAAAAAAAAGTAACTTTCAGAGAGAGTGATAAAACTCTCAGATGAACAAATAAGAGAAATTTGAAGTTCTTACTTGCCCCTGGCCCTGCTTGGCCATGTGATATACAATGGCTGCAGAAGTAACAGTTTTTCCAGTGCCAGGTGGACCTTGAATCAAACTAATAGGCTTTTGAAGAACACTCTTAACAGCAAAAACTTGAGATGCATTTAGTTCAGGAAGACCAGGTGCACCAAAACGCCTGGGTAGCGTATTACGAACCATCTGAACCTCAACTTCATGGCCCAATAAGTGATGGTAAATATATCTACAAGGAATATTAATATTAAACTTCACTCGAGAAAGACAACTAGTTCAAGGTCAAGAGTCTCAAGAGAGATTGGCTACAAATTGAAATAAACTAAACAGCATAGATGAACTAAAGCAAGTTGAACAAAACTAACACAAGATCAACCAACTTAACATAACAAAGAACAGTCACTATTTCAACCGACCATAAATTCAAAATGCAAGGACAAGAATCCATTACCTTTACCAACCAATTCCAATATTACATAAAACCATATATTATCTATACATCTCAAATAGTCCTCAGCTTAACAATTAAAAAGATATGAATGCAGAACTGCAATTCCCTACCACTGCTCCAATTCATAAGAGACATAAAAAGGTTTAAGAAGCAAATGAAACAAAAGATAACATCAAATATTACGAACCACCAGCTCCAAATCTCTTTTTGACAAAGAAATGTCACATTTTATTTCCTCAATGTTTCACTAAAAAGGCTACCCTATGCACAAGCAAATTCAAACACAGAGAGAGAGAGAGAGAGAGAGAGAGAGAGAGAGAGCCTACCCACTAACACTGGTCTCATCAACTGCAAATGTTTTCATTGCTCCCTGCATCCGATCAAAGCTTGTACTCTTCCAAACAAAGTCAACACTGAACCCATGGTTCACATCAACAGGAACTCCCTGCCAAGAATTGACAATTCCAACATAATGCAAGGTAACATAACACAACCAACAGAATGAAAACGAACAAAAAAGAGGAGAGAGGGAACTACCTGGCCAGCACGAAGCTCAAGGGCAACCTCCTCTTGTGCAGTTAACTTAATCTATATAGAAAAATAATTATAATTTACATTAAAACAGCACAACACTGCATCACTCTATACTACAGAGACACATGATTGTAATAAAACCATGATTAAATTGTAAAGACCGCGAAGGAAGCATACCACATGCCCAACTGCCTGCCAGACTGGATGAGCTGCATCTCCTGAATAACAAAGCCGTAGCTCATCACCAGGTACCAGGCGCAACTCATTGTCTTCCTACAAAGCCAAAAACAAAATGTGCATATAACATTCACAAGAACTGAAGGTATAAAAACAGACACACTTTCAAAAGATTGAAAAGGTACAAAGAAAAAGAGATAATTGGAAACAAAAATTTACTGAAACAGATTGACACAAACCAAGAAAATAAGAGCACCTTTGGAAATACAAAGTATGCAATACGTTTCTTGTTTAGCCCAATGTCCCATCGAACTGTAACATTGTCCTTGCTTTGAGATTCTTTCATCATCTACAAAAAGGAGACAATAACATGAATCATAGAATTAAAGAGAATGATCACACACATACATATATCAGAAGATGACGAAAAGGAAAAAAAAAAAAAGAAGGATGATCCTGAAATGATGATGCATACTTTATCATAGTCAGCTTCAAGCTTTATAAGTGGGGCAAATACATTTTGATACTGCAGGAGGAACATAAAATTAATTAGCAAATACCCTGATAAGAACTAAAACTTCATCTGTTCTTTTCATGACAAGGGCAGACGAAAATAATACAATGATTCAAAACAGGCACCTGGTATGCATCTTCATACTTCAAAGCAACAGGCTGAGGTTCATCATCCACACCAGGCTTCTCAAGATCTTCAAGTGAAGCATCAGGATTTGTCTTCCAAAGTTCTTCTACCTTGTTTATTTGTTGAGCACTGATCTGGCGTGCCCTCAATTGTTCCTGTTCAGATGGAACCTGCAAAAGGTGCACTATGTTAGCAGGTTCATTAGCTGAGAGAGCACTCTCACAAAACAGAAAGGAGATACCAACCTTAACAAGCCACTGCAAAAAGCACCTATCATCAATGAGAGGACACCACTGACTCGAGTCCCAGTTCATGTCCTTCAAAGCATTAACATTCAAGCAAGGTTCTCGGCAAAGAAGAACAACAACACTCTCTGTTTTTGCTGATATGAAACCAAGAAGGAAGACATTTCGACATCCACAGTTATAGCATTCAAGGATTGTTTCGCCCAAAGGACTATCTTTATGAAGACACACTTCTTTGTGTTTTGCTCGCACCTAAAACAAGATGCCAGCAACCAAAATTCAGCAACACCAACAGAATCATCATCTGTTTAACTATAGGAGACAATATATGACTAAAAGAATTCATGCCCTGTTTTATAATCTTTAGGGCTCTGAATGAGTAACATCTACCATTATTATCAGCATGTTTCAAGAATTGAGATGTCACAACACTACATGGCTAGTAGAAAACAGACACAAGGTACCTCTAGATCACCAACACAAGTGAAAATTTTATAGGAAAACAGCCAAACAGAAAACATACTTATAATTCCTGCTAACTATCGCAATACATATCCTCTATGTTTCAACCCAATTTCCAACGCCACCCCAAATTTCTAGCAAACAACATAAATAATTACCACATTCCCATTCCTAGAAGACATTGCCATCTTATGTTATTCAACTATATAAGACAACAATGAAAAACCTACAGAACTCACCAGATGATTAACAATATGCGAGCCTGAGGTGTTGCCTCTTGAATTACAAAACCACTTCCTACATGAAGGAACATTACAACGAACTACACACGCCGGATTAGAAACACCACAATACCGACAGGCATGCTCCACAAAATCACCCTTCCCGTACTCAAACCCGCCATCATCATCCCCCACCGTCTCCTCGAAATTCAATCCACTAATTCCCGATGCTAACGCATCCACCACGGAGCCACTGTTGCTATTGCTATTATTATTACTATTGTTATTGACATTAGACGCACCTCGAGCAGCACCTTTCGGAGCGCTAGAGGGAGAGGAAGACGCAGCGGTGTCGGAGTGGTGGTCAGAGGCAGAGCGATCCGCCGCAGAGGAGTCAGAGGGGGTGGGCCAGGCACGAATCGGATCACGGAAGTCCGGGTAGTCAAAGTCGGACTCGCCCTGGGTGTTGAATTCGAGGAAGGTGTAGGCGTCGGAGGCCGGGTCGGGTTGCGAGGCCGTGTCGAATTGGGAATCCATGGAAGGATTCAGAGAAGAGATTTTCCGTTGGAAGTCCGGTCTGTTACCGGGTTAGGGTTTTTCAATGTGAGGGTTTGAAGAAATGGAGGTGCGAGGGAGACGGAGGAGTTAAAAGGAATTTTGATTTTGTTTTGTGTTGAAATCACGAGATGGAGGTGGAGGGAAGAGAGCGCGTGGGGATCAATTCTGAAGAAAACTATGTTCTCGCCGCACGCGTGGTACGCCCATCCTGATTGGTCCTTGGAGGTAGTCAGCACGTGTAAGGGAGGTTGGGGAAATTTTATAGTGGTTGCCGAATTGGGCGCGTGAGAATGAAGCTACAAGAATTTTGCTGATGACGGTTTTTTGTTTTACCATTTGTATATAATTATTTTAAGGGTTTTTTTTATGTAATAAGAGTGTAATAAATATATTTTTTATAATTAATTTTTATTAAAAATGTAAATATTAATTTTAATTTAATCAATTAATAATTGAAATCATATATATATATATATATCAGATGTTAAACTATATATTAATTTTTATAATTTTCAATGTGAATTAATTACAAAAAATACATTTATTATAACTTTAGCCTATGTTGTAAAGCTACAAATTAGACAAACATAATTATGAATTATTGGTTTTAATTGAATAAATTATACATTTTAAATTATAAATAATTATTATTAATAATTATTAACCATTAATTATTAAGTATTAATTATTAATTATGTTTAAATGATTAATCTATATACATTTACTAGTAGATTTCACATTATACAGAAAAGGTATTGTAATATGGGATTTTGGCAATTGTTTTTAGTGTGATATGTAATCTTGTTGAATTGCTTTATATTTTGGGCTGTCATCTTCATGTTCCATTTGCACATGGTTTTGACTGTCCAAATACATCAATTTGATTTGATCTCCTTGTTGAAGTCCATTTTGTTTCCATTTCGGGATTGAGATGGGTAAGAACGTATTTAAAAAAATATATAAAAAACATACCAATCTTATGATAAGAACAAATCTCCGAATATTAAATTTTTTTTTCTTTTATTAATCATTATAAAATGTATAAATAGAGTGTAAAACTCCTATATTTAATGGGAAGTTTCAAATGATAATAATATTGAGATGCTTGAAAAAGTAAAAGTTATATAATCCATGAAAATTGAGTTTAAAACAGCTTATCCATATAATGTGTCATATTGCTAGTGCATGATTTAGCATGGTACATTTATTTACAAGTGGATGAAGGGATGAAAAGGAAAGATTTTAGTTAGGTATACGCAATAAAGTAAACAAATGAATGAGAAATTCGAGTCCAAAAATTCTTGTACCTAATTACATAAAAAATCAATACCACAGATTTCCCGAGCATGATGAGAAAAATTTTATTCTTAGAAAGACGGATGCAAGAATTACGCAATGGAAATGTAATTCAGCAGCGAAAATTATTCATAACAATCATGTAAGGAGTTTTTAAGCTACAATTTAACATGAATTAAGACGAACAGAGTGCCTAACACGAGCTTCAATTTTAACTACTGGTTTCTTCTGCAAAATTGCATCTTTCTTCTTCTTCTTCTTCTTCTAAAGAGCAGGGAACGTTCCAAGTTCTCTTTCTCGATCCCACCGATCAATCTGCAAAAAACACAAAACCCTTCAGTTACCAAAGTACAGCTGCAGAGCCGAAAAAAGCAGCAGGACAGATTGTTCTCTTTTGATCATGTTACCCATTCATTTGGACACAGGGACTTGTAATGCTTTGCAAACCTCTCACATCCAGGTGCATTATTCCCCTTCTCTTTTACGCACCTAACCACATTAATGGTGACAACGTAAACCCATCAAAGAAAATTGAAATTTCAATCATGAGATGATATTGATATTCCTTACTTGTGATATTCCACATAACTTGCACAACAATGGCGAGTTTGGGGCTTTGTTTGCCGGTCTTCAACCTGTTCCAAAGAGTAAAAAGAACTTGAGACTAGAGTGACTTCTAAAAACGGTTTTAAATCCAACAGCTACCTAGCATAGCTATTAAAAAACACAGTTGTTGAGAGTCTCGATCACTGTTAATTTATTTTTAACAGCTTACAAAAACTTTTTATTAATTAAACACTTATATTTAGCTGCTGGTTATATAAACCCTAGCAACTATTAGTTGTCTTTAAACTTCCAAAACAAATGATCCCTGAGTCTTTGAGGGAAAGTTTCAATGAGAGAAAGAAAAAAGAGTTACGCCTGCGTACCTTCACGTTGTTGTCCCCGATTTCTTTGTTGAGAGGAGGAGAGGACGGGGAAGACGACTTCGGTTTGTAGTTTTGAGGGGGAGGAGAGACCGTACCGAACTCATGAGTAGGCTTGGGAGCTTGCTCTCCTCTGGCAACCTTGTTCATGTCTCTGCTTCTCATCTTGTCGTGGGGATCCACCATTGCGGACATCATGGCTGCGGCTGCCGATTATTTTCTGTCTCTGCTCTCTCTTGCTTTTGCTTGCATGGGAGCTGCATTGGTTTTAGCAAGTTGCTATATATGACATCTCTGGTGTTGCAAATGCGTGCATTGAAGAGGCAGAGCCACGTAGCGGAGAAAGAGATGACACCTGTGCTTGAGGGTCTTGAACTGTCCGTAGCAGAGAGCTCCACCGCATTTCGCAGCCAGAAATTCTACCAATTCATTTACCGGTTCTTAATTAGGATGAGGATATATATTCAACGTTAACTTCAACAGAAGAGGTTAACTGGACAAAAAGTTCTACGTTTTATGATGAAATTGAATATTTTAAAGACTCCATGGACAAAGTAAACATTTGATGTGAGTACAAGGACCTAAAGTGCCATTGTTCCTTAAAATTCTACGTAACCGTAACGATACTTGTATGTCGTATCGAATGAGTCCATGTTATAGCCCAACACATTCCTTCGGGTTAGGCCCATACATTTACTTGCCGGTGTTTTTTTTTTTTTTGCTGGGTAATTTGTGAAAAAATGCTTCTTCTTTTTTTTTAACTTTGAAAATACTAGAAAAGGTACAGGGCATACTTTTGAAATAAATTTAATTGTTAATTCCGTATAATTATCAAATTTTTAATTTTAATGAGGTAATTCAATGGTTAAGAGTTTGAAATTTCAAGTTAGAGATTTTAACTTTAAATCTTAAGTCGGGCAAAAAAAAATTTAGGGAAAATGGAGAGTTATCCCTCGAGAAGGGATTTAACGAAATAAGAGCGTTATCCCTTTTTATATAACTTATTCAGATGTATAAAAAAAATTAATTTTTAAAATCCTACATAATTATTTTATAAGTTAAGTGTCAATTTTGATCCCTCAACTTTAAGGTTTTGCATAATTTTCATCCATTAACCTTTTTATGCACTTTTTTTGTCTCTTAACTATGAAAAATGTATTTTTTTAATTCTTTTATCAATTAATCTATTAAATTTATCTAAATTTACACATTATTAGTCCCTCAACTTCTAAATATGCACATTTTTAGTCCATCAACTTAAATGTGCATATTTAGACAAATTTAATAAATTAACTAATAGAATAACTAAAAAAATACATTTTTCATAATTAATGGAACAAAAAAGTACATAAAAAATTGAGGGATGAAAATTATATAAAATGTTAAAGTTGAAGGACCAAAATTGACACTAAACCTTATTTTATATGAATTTACACTTTTTAATATTTATTTGAAAGCCATAACAAAACCAAAAACGCTCTTAAGTTTGAACTGTCAAAACTTAGGAAACCAAATCACAAAACTGGTTGGGTCATGACTCATGGGTGGATCATGGGCTCATATAAAACGAAAAGGGACCTAAACTTCTAAAAAATTGTTAATCAAGTCCACTAATTTTTATTTGTTTTATTTTTATCTTTAAATTTTTAATTTATTTTATACAAATATACGATTAATCAAGTCCTTTAAAGTTTAAACTTTTAATTATTTTTCTCCCAACAATTTTTTTCTGATTCCGCCACTGATGACAGTTATTTTGATAAAAGGACAAAACCAACCTAACATGTTGAATCTGGAGTCAGGATGACATATGCACATGGAAGAGGGCAAGAGGGGCCCTAGCATTTTACCCATTTGTTCCTAAAGCAAGAAGTCCTCTTGGATGTAATTCCCATGCTGGGTTTCTTGGTCTTTTATCTTTCCCTTGAAAAAGGTTCAACTGCCCCAAACGATTGTACGTAGACCCTCTGGGCACCCACAGTGAGTCACATGAATCGATTTGAGTCATTAATTCAAGAATACAATCATTTAAAATTTCAAGAATCTTAAAACACCTGGATTAATTTAAAAAATATGATAAAATTTATAATTTATTAAGAAAAATTCTATAAGGAAAAGGCAACCATGAAAAATACATAAATTATCACTTTGGAATGTTTGACAATTAAAGCCAACCCACCAATTGAATCATCATTAATTAACAATTGTAATTAAAGATGACAAAGATGCTTTAACCATCCAAGATTCTCTAAATCGTATTATTTATCCCCATGATATCTCTAGAGAATTTATATTTGTATCACAACAAATAACAATGTGACATCTATAGCATATTCACATGTGTCAAAACTGATTCCAGACTGGTTCGTATGTAAAACGAATATACAAAACAAACCACCATGTTTCAAGTTGTATTTTAGTAACTTTAATAGACAAAGAACAACTCATTGGACTCTAGGATATAGAAAGTTGTAATTTATTTATTTATTTATTTATTTTTATATTAGATTACAATAGAAAGTAATATATATTCTTTTATTTATTTCTTAATTCATTCTACTTGTATATAATGTAATTTGATCTTAGTGCTTTTAATTTTTATTAAAAAAATTATCATTAAATTACTTAAATAATTAGTTAAATATCTTTATTATTGTTTAAGTATAAACAATATTAGAAGGGTCATGTTTGTCACTCATATGTGAAGATTTGTTTTACATTTATAATGAGGTGATTTACAAATACCATGAGATTAATCAAGTTAAAAGTTTAAATACTCATACTATAAAAATAATATATAATAAAATATAAATATCTCAAAAAAAAATTAAAAAGATAGTTGTGTGTTATGCTTGCTTTCTTCTTTTTCTTTTAAGAAAAAAAAAATTCATATTATCCAATTTTATAAAAGGGTTTATATATGTCCAAACTCCAATTCTCATTCATTTCTTCATCAACAAGGGAAAATTAATAAGATGAAGTCTTACAATTCTTTACCTTTGGTTTTCCTTTTCTTTTCCTTCTTTCTTTTCCATTATTCCGCTGCAAGCAGCTCGGATGTTCTCTATCGTGCTTGCAAAGATGCTGCAGATGGCGACCCCAATATACACTACAATTTTTGCGTGTCATGTCTGGAAGAAAATCCTAAGAGCCACAACGCTAGCCTCAAAGGATTGTTCAAGATCTCAATCGGTCTAGCAAAATCTAACGCGACGAGCATCAAGTCCCTCGTTTCGAAACTCCTAACAAACAACAGCCTCAGTAAACATGCCAAGAGTAGCTTGAAGACATGCTCGGAGGTTTATTCCGAGGCAATTTCCGATTTGAAAGATGCTATTGCAGCTTTCAAGTTGAAAGATTACTCGACCACTAATATACGCATAAGTGCCGCCATGGATGCTTCGGATACTTGCGAAGAAGGTTTTAAGGAAGAAGGAGATGTGTCTCCTTTGAAAAAGGAGGACAATGAGTTCTTCGAATTGACTGCAATTGCTCTTGCTTTCCTCAGTATGTTCCGTTCATGATATATGAGAAGTTTATGATTTTCCTATGTTGTCACTATTTTCCTTTTTAATAAATCAAAGTACTTCATCATGACATTGGTGTACATTAATCAAACAGATCTGTTTCTTTTCATAATTTAATAAATATATACATTTTTAAAGAAAAGTTTGTCTGCAAGCAAGTTGGCCCATTTAACATAAGAAAAACTACTACATAATATAATTTAAATTTTTAGCCAGACTCTATTAAGAAGTAGGTTAAATCCTCAATTTGGTCCCTAAACTAGTATATGAAGTATTGATTTGATCCTTAAATTAAAAAAATCCCTAATTTCGTCTTTAAATTATTGTACGGATCCGATTTGCTCCATACTGTTTAGTAATTTACCCCAAGTTGATCTTTCTATACAAAAACCAACAGATATATCTTATTATTAATGTGATACGTGATCGTTAAACTACTGTTTTTCATTGTTAAATAATATAGACACATCAGTTATTTTTTGTACGCAAAACTAGTTTTGGACAAATTGGTAAATAGTATGGATCAAATTGAGGGTTTATACAATAGTTTAGGGACAAAATTGAAAGTTTAACCTAAGAAGTATAACAAACTTCTTAAAATTATTTACACCTAAATAGTAACTATATGAGATGATGGTAGTCACATGTCACTCTTTATTTGAATTAAAAAATATTCATTGATTACCATTTGATTTCTGGGCACATGTTAAAAGAGACTCACTTTAACATGCATATATATATTTGGGGATAAGCATGCTTGCAGCAGTGCGCAAATTTGCTATGATGCTTACTCAAACGCAACTAATTAAATAATATGTTCGAAGATTGCTCGTCGTGCTACCATCAGCGACTCGATCACCTATTGCTTACTCAAACGCAACTAACATGTTCAAAGATGCCCATGGAAGAACTATTGCTATGATGCTATCCTCAAGCTTGCTTGCCGCCTCAAAGTCCCGGTTACTTGTGAATTAGGTATTATTTTTAACGAGATCGATCGGGACAAGATACAGAACTCATGAGGTGGCTTTGCCTTGTCATACACTCGAATTTCTTTTGTTTAACATAGTTTTTTTTTTTTTTTGAACATTTTGACAAAGGGTTCAAAACCTGCCCAAGAGAAGGAGGGAATGCACCGACAAACTGACTAATGTCAGTGGACCTCTAGGGCCAAGTGTGTTTTACATAGTTTATTAATTGTCCCGTACTAGATTATATAAACTGTCACTCTAATTAATCTTCAACTTTTTTTAAATGATAATTATATTAATAATATTGGTATATGTTCTTAGATGATGGAGAGTATCAAACTTGAAATTTGATTTTTATGTCATTAGGGATACCATCACTTTATTCTCGAAAAAAAAAAGTGTAACCATTTAAACTACACGAGTAAATGACTAATCTTCTTCAACTTAATTATTAGTATGCATTCAAGTAATTAACTACATTCTTCTCATGTACTAAAATGGTGGGAAAATATAGACGAGGTGTTTAAATTAATAGTTAATAAAAAAACTGATGGCTTATTAAAGATATTTAATTATTGATAATTATGATTATTTATAATTTAAAATATTTAATTTATTAGATTAAAATCAACCGTTAATAACCATTTTTAATAAACAGTAATCCAAACATCCCCATATACATTTGCCCAAATGTAGTGAGGTTCATGTTCTTGAAATTCAATCAAGAAATTATAGCATGTGGCACTTCTGGAAAACGGTTCCATTTCTTTTCCTTTGATAACAAACAGAATTTATATTGCAATTCTTATCCTTCATTTTCCTGGTAATTAGATAAAGGTTGTAGTTTTGCATCTTCCCCACACCAACAACATATTTTATACACATTTTATGGTTATACATAAAGGAAGATCAATGCTATATTATAAGTTTATTTTTATTAAGAGTTATAAAATATACAATTCACACATATTAAATTACATATCACTTTTTTAAAATTACATTTATATCTTACATTTTCTTCTCAATTATAAAATAGGATTTTAATTTATCAAAAAAGTGTTCTTTTAGTTTAGATGATTTTTTTTTTTAAGTTTAGATATTAAAATTACTTGAGTACTTTTTATGAATATACTTTATAAACTTATTTATTAATAATATTTTTATAATTTTAACACTTGAACTACACAAAAATATGTAGTAATATTAAATTTTTTTTCCCCTAATTTAAAATAAGACCATGTTTGGTTTACTGAAAATGAGCAGTGGATGGTTCCGAGCAGAAGCTGACGGAGCTAAACGGGGTGCCTGCCAAAATAAGATCGATTTCAACCCAACTGTATCATACCTGAATTGACTCACCCTTTCAGTAATTCTGTTTTTGTTTAGCTACAGATCTCTGAGACGATGGCTCCGATTTCGGCTCTTGCTAAGTACAAGCTGGTGTTCTTGGGAGACCAATCAGTGGGCAAAACCAGCATCATTACTCGCTTCATGTATGATAAATTCGATAATACCTATCAGGTATGTCTCCGAACAAGGACCCAGAATAGGATTTCATTGTTATTTGATTATTTTTCCGTTTTTTTAGAACTTTTGGATTGAAGGGGGCTCTGGATATAGCTTGATGTGGTAAGAATTGAAGAGAACAGAGGGAAAATCACAGAAATGATGGGTTCACTGCTAAAATGTTGTTGGTGTAAATGGGTGGTTGAAAGATGCAGTTTTTTAGTTGAAATTAAAGAACTTTAGAGGATTTAGAAGATATTTCCAACTTAAATACAAGATGAAATGTGGAAAGTTTGATTGCCGACTTTTTTTAATAAGGATTTGTATGTTTTTTCATGCCTTTATTGTGAAAATTGGTACGTGAGCTTCAACAAAACCTTAAAATCAATTGGCAATAGATGAAGTAATCCTTGTTTTATTTAAGCCACGTGTTTCCTTGTTATATCCTCAAGGTGGATTTTCCCACTCAACTTTTACAACCACATTGAATGAGAATAATGACATAGGATCTTGTTGTTTGAGGCTTAGGGAGCATTGCTATGTTAAGCTTTTGTTACCAAGGATCAGTGAGTATGTGTTTTATGTTTATAATCTCTTGTTTTGGTTCTCTCATTTTGTTTGTTGTTGTGTAAGGTAATAAGCTTCTTCAACCAATGGTGTGACATTTAGATTGTGTTTATTTGAACTCGCATTTCATCATTTAAAATTTGTGATCAGGCTACCATTGGGATTGATTTCCTGTCAAAAACCATGTATCTTGAAGATCGAACTGTTCGCCTGCAGTTGTGGTAAGATTTGTTCTTGAAGATATATATACTGCCTTGTGATTAGGAAAACATAACTTTTTGTATCTGTGTGATTCTGGTTGTTCATGTAATCTTATTTGTTATGTATTTTCTTTTGAGGATTGATCATTTCTTATTTGATATG